AATTCGTGTTAGGGCTTAGGTATTTATATCTAAAGGTGTTTTGGTAGTATGGGCCGAGTAAAACACTTAAAAACGCGTACTAGGGTTTTTTTCGCGTAGAACGGTCGCTCGAGCGAGGGTGGGGTGAAACTCTAGCGAGACCCATTCTGTTATTATCGCTCGAGCGAGGGTCGAGCGAAAGTCGAGCGACTGCTGAGTAGTCATTAGTATTTTTATCATAACTTTCTCTCCTGATGTCCGATCGAGGTGATTCAAGTTTTGTTGAATAGCTAACTCAAAGGGCTACAATTCTTCTAGAAATAGCCTTGTCCAAATTCCAACTGTTTCTATGTGTAAAATGTGTTCCAAGTGAAGACTGAAAATCTGAAACATAATTTGTACGGTTCTTTGATATCTTTTAGACTTCCAATTGCATTCCGATGATCTTATGTGATCTTCTTGGATATCTTGGACTCCTTTAACGACTCAAACACTAATTTGTGTGGACAGTCATGGACAGTCTACTCTCCTCGAATGTGGTCTCATATTAAACAAGGATACAACAAAATTTGTGTGGCTTTCTCGAACATGGCTACAGTGCATGAACGGCCAAGCTCCTAATGGGATAATTATTGATCAAGATAGGGCAATATAGAACACAATCCAGATTGTGTTTCCTAGTATGAAGCATAGGTGGTGTCTGGCCACTATTGAAAAAATTGCTAGAAAAATTTAGATTTCACATTGACAAAGCTTCTATATTCTCTACTATACACGGATTGGTTTATGATTCTCAGTTTGTTCAAGAATTCAAAGAAGGTTGGCTAGCGATGATAGAAATGTATAATTTGTAAGACAATGAATGGTTATCATGTATGATAATAGATCGCGTTGGGTTCCTTGCTTCTTACGAACCACTTTCTGGGTGGGGATGTCAACAACTCAAAGAAGTGAGAGTATTAATGCATTTTTTGACAGGTATGTTTATTCAAAGACCTCGTTGAAGCAATTCGTCAAACGGTATGAAAGAGCATTGAGAAATAAGGTTGAGAAAGAGTTTCAAGCAAATTTCAAATCGTTCTCACAAATGGTACCTTGCGCAACTAGGTATGAAATTGAGAAGCAGTTCTAGGCAGTGTACACAATTTCGAAGTTTAGGAAAATTCAAGAGAAGTTTGTTGGCAAAGTTTATTGCGATCTCATCTCTGTTAGCGAAGGATTTTTGGGGACAATGTATGAGGTACATGAAGACGTCATACATGACCATCATTGTACCAAAAACATTCTTGGTCTCATTATCGAGTGACAAATGTGAAGTTATTTGTAGCTGCATTTATTCGAGTTTCGAGAAATCCTATGGAGGCATGCGGTCACGGTAATGATACACAATGGAGTGAAATTGTTGCCAAATAAATACATTTTACGGAGATGGCGGAGAGACGTTATCAGATCTCACATGAGGGTTGCGATGAACTATGACGGGTTGGTTAGTACCCCAGCATAGTTGATGTACGATAAGATGGTTAAAACATTTGCTACATTGGCAAACATCACTTGTGATGATGATGTAAAATTTGGTTCAATATTGGAATGGATTGAATCTCAGTGCAAACAAATGGCTGCTTCGAAGTCCAATTGCGGGAGTAATGTCTTGTCCAGTCATACTATCGTATATCGCCGCATGATGTCACATCAGATGATACTGGCAGTGGATGCGTTAGCATTCAGGATCCAAAAGAGGCGAAGAAAAAGGGTGCTCCAAAAAAACTTTGGAAGAAATCCCTGTTGGTATTGAGTTCAAATAAAGCGACGATATATTACATTACCTTTACCATAATTTTTACTTCTTGTGTTAAAATACAAAGAAAATAAAGTTCTGACACGCTGTGATGCAGGCGGGTTGCATTGCACCTAAAGGGAAAAAAATCCAAGGTACGCCAATGTAATTGTGGAGTTGGTGCAACCGTGTTTCAGACAACCCAACCATCACAATATTCAATGCCAGTACCATTATCATATTCACAGCTCGTAATGGTTAGTTTATTACATTATTATAGTTCTTTGGTGTAGATAAATTTGACTGACATGTTATATTTTTCCTTGTAGGGTAAGACCTAGAGCGTTGGGTTCTCACAACACTTACAACCGTCTACTTCGATTCGCCTAGATGGTCAAGGCAATGATGAGGTTGGGAACTCTATAGTTGAGGTTACTTTGCATTTTTGGGGCTGTGTAATAAATTCTCATGGTGTGCAGTATGTCATGCAATGCCCTACTATGTTCCATATGTGCTGGACAACAATGGCCCTAACCCATGACATTAGAATAGCAATACAACAAAATAGATCTGGTACATATATACAAATAATTTTTTGAACGTACTAGATATTCTGATCATTAATCGTGTCATCTAACCTTCGTTTTGCTGTAGCTACTTGAAGAATGTAACTAGGAGATTGACAAATAGGAACCCGCACTATCTATTTAATCCGTGTTATAATTGGCGTCTCATGAAATTTGTGAAGGCAGAGCAACATATTTTTGCAGTTGTTCAAGAACGTTTGATATTGAAATTACCAAAACTGAGGGGACATTCTCATGTTAAATTTTGAAGGGAGTAATACCTATGTATTAACATGCATGCATATGAATGCTACGTGCATAGTTTTCTTATTACCGTTAACAGAAGATGTCTTCTATTAGTAAGCCATGTTTCTAATTGAATGTTAGCTATTAATTCAATTCTGTTTATTGACTTCTTTTCTTGTTTGCCAATGGAATTTCAGTGTTCATTTTCATTTTATTTTGCAATTCCTACACATGAAAAGTCAGCATTCACATTGAGACCTTGATAGACAGCTTCTTCAAGTACAATAGATGTTATTTATATCTGCTTAATGAAAAGTTGCATGAACATGCCAATGTGATCTTTTACCTTATTTCCTATTATCCTTGTTTGTTTCTCAAATTATAACAGACAGTTGGGATGTCAGGAAGAAGAGAGGTTTTGATGGGGGAATACAAGTCAAGAAGTTCGCAAGTTCGCCCTATGTTTCTGTAGATTTTGTGAAAACAGTTAATGTAGTATGGATCAGATTAATTAAAAGAGAATCATTTACTATTGTTGAGGCATGTTATAGAGATATCAGAGCCAAATGAACTCATCCATAAGTGTACTCCAATTTTTTTACTGGGAGTACAAGTCAGGATGGTTGCCATATGTTGCTGTGGATTTTGTGAAATGCTTAATGTAGTACATAGGTCAGACTAATTAATCGAGAACCATTTGCTATTGTTAAGGGATGTTACAGAGATATCAGACTTCAAAATTTTAATGGTAAATTAGGGAATGACAAAGACAAATTAAAACAAAATGAAGTTATCACGAAAGGAATAGTCACTTGCAATTCAAAAAAGAGATGCCCCTAGACCTAACCTCATCGAGTAACCTCATACGACAACACAATTACAAAACAACATTACTTAACTACTAAATAGTGATGAAACTGCTAATGCCGAAAATCCACAAGTGAATAAGGTCATCAAGTTAACCACTGCAACTAGTGATAAAACTACTAATGCCGGAAATGCATAAGTCAATAAGGTCATTAAATTGAGAATTGCAACTCATTCACGTCCATTTCCTTTCTTCTCTCCATCCACATTTGCTCTTCCTTTGTGTATTGTCACGTTAAGAGACATCTCCACATCACGTTGATCAAATATTCGACATTGAGAGTGAAACATGCAAGACAGTTCAACTCCTTTGCTCGTCACATGATTCGTCGAAGTTACTCTGACTGCACTTGATTCATCGCTAGTCTCGCCATCTTTGAACCACTCCCAATGTCCACATTTTGCAGTATAGGTATTGAATAATCTACCTTTGTTTTTGCTCTCTTTCTCCACCTCAAAACACTTAACAAATGCATGCTTGCACCATGGGCAACGGCGTTTCTCCGGATAGTCGGCAAAAAATGCCCCTTTTCTCTACAACAGGACATACTTCCTAGTTCTTTCCTGCCATCATAAGCTAAAAATAAACCACAACACTTCAAAAGCAATTGAGGAATAAGAGCTCACATCCATTAAAGCAATCTTATTGCTTTCTATACATAATCCAGACATCTAAAAATATCACACACCAATCACCATAATGAGAAAAATCAAAACTTCAACATTTGAGAGTTCAGAAATAGAAACTGAAACAAAAGTATTTTAAATTTGTGAAGTTAAACTTACGGGCATTCCTAAACGAAATCCCTTATTGAGAAGTCATATAAAAAATAAAATAATAATAATAAAAATAATATATAAAAAATAAAAAAGCTAACTTCAAGCTCTTTTGGGATTCCAGAATACAAATAACTATCCACAGAATTAATGGACATTTTGCAACGCAAATTTCAAGTGTCTGATATACTCTAATTTAGTTTACAACCACACGATTTAGGAGAAAAATAAGCGAAAAAAACTTAACTTTGACCCAACGACTGCTGCTGACTACAAAATGAGTAATAATAATAAAAATAATATATAAAAAATAAAAAAGCTAACTTCAAGCTCTTTTGGGATTCCAGAATACAAATAACTATCCACAGAATTAATGGACATTTTGCAACGCAAATTTCAAGTGTCTGATATACTCTAATTTAGTTTACAACCACACGATTTAGGAGAAAAATAAGCGAAAAAAACTTAACTTTGACCCAACGACTGCTGCTGACTACAAAATGAGAAAACAAAAATTAAACGCCACAGTCACTCCTTCGAAAACCCACATATTCGAATTTACTTCCAGTGACACAGACGAGGACGGGTCTGGTGCAGCAAGCAACGAAGGGTACAAATGCCTTCTTTTTGTGCCGACGTCGAAGGGTGTGAGATAATCGGTACCGGTGCTGGAGGGTTTTAATTTGGTAGATTTGGAGGAAACTGAACGGGGTTTGACACATTGGACCGGATCCGGGTCTTGTTTGGTTTATTAACTTTCTGTCTTCATTATTTTTTTATTTTTATTTGTATTTTTTATTACTATTATTATTATTATTTATTTTATATTTTTTTTTTGAATTTAAGGAAAAGGAAAAGGAGAATGCTACTTTCCATGTCAGCAGGTGAAGGTTTCTGTCAAGGCTTTCGGTCACCATAGCGCAGTCGAAAAATTGTAAGGAAAGAGGGATCTGGGTGACTTTTCTGAAAATTTTCTTTGTAGGAAAAAATTCTTGGCGATCCCCTCTTCCCCTTTCTTGGCAAGAACCCAATAAAGCTTATTCTTTTCTTCCTATTTTTTTTTACCTTTTCAACTCAGAATCCAAAAACCCCGATGATTCTTGATTACATTATCTAATATTCGTCAAAGGTATATGAGAGCCCTTCTGATCTGCCCTTTAAGAATTTCTTCCGTTATTTTTCAGGTTCGTTCACTTTTCTTTTGATTTCTGTCCGTGAATTGATATATATTGCAGGTTTTTTTAGTTACGTGGGCCTGAATAATAATTACATTGTTTACATTATACTCCTTTACTCTATTTGTTTCAAGCATCGATTTTTAGCTCAAATTCATTTACTTTTGGTATGAATGAATGCCTTCCATTTTGAGTTCTTGCTAGATTAAGTCTTTACACTTGTTTTTATCTGTATATTAATAGTATTTTGCCATCTTCAATTTGTTGTGTTTCTTTGAGGTTTTGAAGTAAAAAATTTGTTATGAAAAATGTAATTAGTCCACCTAAATTTGTCTTTTTTATTATCTCAACGTCTTACTTTCCTTTGGCAGACGCATAAATTTTGAGTTAGGGGCACAATCAAAAGTTGAGAAAAAATTTAAATATCTATGAAACAAATTACATAAACATTATCCCTGTGCAAAATAAACTCGGTCAAGGTCACAAAAATAACCACAGATGAGATATTAGAAAAAGCAAAATAAGTCACCCTTTCCCAACTATACCTGTGCAAGATGCTCCTATCCGAACTTAATTAAATTGTTGAAACTTTGAATTTGTTGATATCAGTTAAGAACTTATCGATAAATACACTTCATTTGCCACTTTCTCCTTCTGATCTTCAAGCTCTTCCCTTGTTTCCTTTGGCTGAGCATAATGAGAAGAAATTTAGCTTCAGTCCACGTTGATGACTTTGATTAGGAATGGGGAAGTTTGCCACTTGCTTATTATTAATCAAAGTAGGGTAACCAAAATTTATAATTCACAAAAGCAATATTTCGATGCTCCGACTTTTGAGTTCAAACTTGTGTACTAGATAATTTACTATGTAATGGTTAATTGTGCTTCAACTGCTTTTTTCTCATCTAAACAAATACTTCTTGCCATCTATCATCCTTCACACAATTATGAAACAACTCACATAAACAACTCGACCCAATTGAATTTGGAGCTTAAAAAAAAACACCAAATTTTGGAAATTTGGTGGGTCAAGTGCCTCCACTATGCCCTATAGTGTGTCCACCCCTGCTTTCCTTTTATAGCTCCGTCCTGGAGCACTTTACTCCAGAAATTTTAACTTGAAGTTTCTGATGTTGATTGCCTTGATCTTTTTTCTGGGCAATTTGAATTTTCTTTCGCCACTTTTGATCTTGTAATTTGACTAAGATAATTTATTGAGCTTCTCATTATGAGTTGTGTTTCACCTTTTCTTTTGTCTTTGGGGCCCTGTTTAGTGCTTCCAAACTACAAGTTGTCATTGATTTTTGTATGAAGTTACTGAATATTTATCCATTATTATACCTTAAACAGGTCCTTGAGTCGCCTTAACATTAAAGAGTAGTATATGTTAGAAGATATTTTATTTGAGATAATTAGTCGTAATAATTCAATATGGGGAAAAATTGGATGTTCTTCGTTGAGCCAGATGGGGTGAATGGCAGTTATCCGATGGATCCAATTGTCCCACATGTTTCTGGGCATTGGCTCTTCCATGTTTCTTCATTTGTTGACAATTCAAAGTATTTCTACGTCCCTGGTAGCTTGGCGCTACAAGAAGCTTGCAATTGCCTATCAAAGTGTACCAGTGCCCTATTGTTATGGTTTGCTAGTGGTTCAAATTCCCATATAAACAACAATATATCAGGTGATCATATTGGTTCTAGTTCCAGCTGTAAAGCTTCAGTACAAGTAAAGCGCGTTCATTCTAATAAGTATGATTTCTCGGGATTTTTCTGGAAGTCAAGATATAAAGGTAAATCTGCTGTGCCAGCAGTACTTGGCAAGATATCAAGGTTCACTCTGAAGCAACTATTTAAAGAAGCCGAACGGCTTCAATCACTTCCAGCACTTTCATTAGCTGCAGCACTAGTACCACCGTTTACTGATGTGTAAGCTCAGTCATAGTCTTCTAACAAAGATAGAGCAATCTTAACACGTTTATCATGCTTAGTCCAAATAGGTTGATTTTCATGCATATATGGATATTCTTGCACCTTTTTCTTTTAATTTTCACTTTGAGTTTTTATCTAAAAGATTCTCTTTTTTGAATGTTCATTAGCTTTTCACAGAGATGCATGGATGGAAGGCCCTGCGAGGTTGAAACTCGGGGCTGTGGACCATTCAGTGAAATTTATCTTCAGAATTTAGCTTGGTCTAGTAATGCAGTTGAGCCAAGAACTGGCATTGAGTTCCCTACAGTGTTGGACAACATAATAACTGGAGAAAATACCAGTTTGACTCCAGAGGTAAGCAGACAAAATACAATAATTTTTAGGGAGCATTTTGATCTTCTCATCGATATAATATCCAACACTTCCCTTCATCTCATTGATCTCTATCCCATAACATTCAAATACTAGGCACGTGTTTGGTGATTTAATATGATGAGGAGCATTCTTGATTTAAGGTTATGTTTATCTATGCTCAGAGATCTGCAATACACACTTCTGATTTCTAATATTTCGTGGAAATTAAAATCTTTCTCACCGTAATTTCTCAATTGCATAAATTTCTAAATTCTCTTTCTTGCTACCAGTTATCCTCTTCCCTTCTGTCATGCACAACTATTTAAACCATCATCTTTACCATCTTTCATTTTATAACCTGTATTTGCTTCATTGTACGTACACTTAGTCTATAATGAACAGAAAAATAGATACAAACCTCTTGAATAAGTATAATCTCTATCATTTCATGTAATTCATAATGGTATTGGTACTTTTTTACTTTCTTGATTTTTTTCCTTGTCGAATTTTACTTATGATGAACTGTTTTTATGTATTTGAGATATGACATAGCTGTATTATGCTTTCTTAAAGTGTGGACTTCTTTCCCTTTTCGACAAATAAGATTATAAGAAAAATAAACTTCTATTGCTAACTGATTTTGACTTTGTTATCAGGTTTATTTCAATAAATCCTTATGTGACTCCGTGTTTTTCTTCACTTGCCTCATAAGTATTATGCTTCCTATGCATTTAGCCTGGTTTTTCTTTTATTGATGAATGTTTGATAAAAATTTCTGACTTTCTTTCAGGTCCTTGTTGGAATTGGATCTAGGACCATGACCATAATCAGAATCAAATCTCTGAAACTCTATGCATTTGGTTTTTGTGAGTTTTATGCTGCACTTCATACACTTGGACATATTATATTTACTCTGGGAAAGTTCATCAGATGCTTAAACTCATTTTGCATTGTTTGCAGATGTTCATCCTTTTGATGTCTGTGAGAAATTGGGCCCAAAGTATGCCTGCATTCCGGAATATGAATTGAATAAACGCCAAGATTTTTATCAAGATCTTCTCAGGTTTGTACTACATTTCTGAATAATTTAATGATTGACAAAGTGGATTGACCTGTAAATGTGATATTATATAAGTTTATTCAGGGTATATTTGGTTTGCAGTATTAGACAGAGATAGATAGTATTAAATAAGAACAAGAAGCCAAAATTTGTAAATTATGTTGACCAATACTACATTCCAAACATAAATCAATGTTTAGATAACCACTATGTGAAGCTTCCACATTATCGAGTGCATTGCAGTGATATAAAGAAATTAAACTTTGTAGTTTTAAAAGAAGATCCTTGCTTTTCTCATTTGCTCTTTGAGTTTAATGGTTACATTAACTATATCACCTCATCATTAGCATATCAAACTTCATTCGATGACTCTAATGTTTGATTAATTTTATACTTATCTAAATACTTTTGTATGATCTGGGATTAGCGTATGATGAATTGTTTGTGAATTTAATTGAATTTCGTAAAAGATTTTTAATATTCCCTTGTTTAAATTTTGGCTCATGCTGCAGGGAGGATATTAACATGACTGTTAGGCTTGTGATTAGTTGCAACGGAATCAGAATAAGTACTGTGAGAGAGTAAGTTAAATTTCTTCTTGCAGAATGCTGATTTAAAATATAACCATTGAGTGAATTTTTGGTATGGGCGAGCTAGCTGTGTCTCAATATGTATCTGAAAATGTTTCATGGAGTAAATTTGTTACAACTTCAGTTCTCACTTTCCCCCCATTTACGGAATGAGCTAGTGCGATTAAGATTGGTGGTATCATCTGCTGCTAAATGAACCTTTTATTGAAGTTTCAAGTCGCAAAGTATACAATTAAAATCCTTGCAAATTCTAGAATAATTGGAGCAAGCAAGATGCAACATTTATTTAGAACGCTAGTGAATTTTGACAGAGTTGCGAATGTTAATGGTTCAATTTTTGAATCTTCTCTGTTGCAGTGCTTTTGAGAAGTCTCTTCGAGCCCGACTAATAAGAGTGAGTCCTTTCGAATTTTGCCTGATCCTTGAAGTATTGCTAAATTCTTGTTACAAACAATTTTCTCCTCTTTAGACAAATCCTGATGCTGACCATCACTGCTTGCACACATTCAGTTCCATATTCTCGCAAGATATTCCCTTACACGTGGTATAATCATTTATTCTCACATTCTTTATATAAAATTTTTATGGTATTGCAAACTGCATTACTGAGTTGCATAAAAAATCTTCAGGGAACGACAATCAATTTCCATCGTACAGCTGATGGAAAACTAATTACCGAAGGTAATTGATACACTCGGGGAAAATAACCAAAATAGAAATGAGGGAAAATAACTAAGAAAGAAATTTTATAAGAACTTATATATGCCCTTGACAAAGAACGTTTTTATGTGCAGTTGGAGGAAATCAACTTGGAGCCGTCCAGAGCAAGGATTTATGCAGTAAGTGAATTTTATTTTTCCAGAAAGCCATTTAACACCTTTCTAGACTCATAACTTCAAGTAAGATATGGATAAACACTTTATGCATATCTTGAACAGAGAAGTGGAAAAAAAAAAAGGATAAATCGTCCATGAAAAGAATCGTAATTCTCACTTAGTTTTGTATGTATATTCAGGGGCTTTCTTTGACATGTACATTGGTGATGTTCCTGTGTGTGAGCAAACAAAAGAAGAGATAGGCAAAAATGTGGCGAGTATCATTAGGACGTGCTAAGTCAACTCTCTCGAGGATGGTAGATAATTGGCTGTATCCCATTGTGATTCTTTGAGCTTGATGTTAGCTGCTACTCCATCTCTGTGACAATGACAACTCAGTTAAATTGGTTGCAAGAGAAAAATGAAAGACCGACTAGTCGATTGTATACTTTTCATGTACAAGTTTGTTATACGTGATAGGATTCCTGATTTTGGCATAATTCTTCCTATCGATTCTAGATTTTGTTTGTTTAAGCTGACTCCTCCATTTGTATATAAACAGAAAAAATAATGGTAACTTCTATACTGTACTAATTTATTCAGTGGAGTTGGAATGTCATTCTATTCTTGATTAATCTCAATATGATGTTCTTGACTGGACTTAGAAATCTTGTAATAGGTGTTCTAAGTCAATCGATGAAGTTTATTTTTCAAAAGCATCATCAAAACAAGTTTTTTGAAATTGAAGAAAAAGAAATTCACGTTGTCATGTAGGCAAGGTTTGATCTAATCCGTATCCCTTTTTCCAGATTGGGCTAGGGATGTCAGTTTGGCTCATTGATTTGAGCGGCTCGTTGTTCAACACAAAAAAGCCCATGTTGGTCTTCTTGTGGCTCAGATCAAGTTGAGCCTCATTTTTGAGCATAGGCTCGAGCCTAAGGTAGCCTATATGGCTCGTCAAGCTACATGGGCCAGCCCATGACAAGCTACACGAACACGAGTCAATTTTGGCCCATGTTATTTGATACAGGCAACAACTGCCTGTTAATACAAAGGCAGCACTAGCTGCTTGTACTGTTTTTAAAGAGTTGTGCTATCTGCACAGTGCCTGTATAGGTACATACACATGGGGTCGATTCCCATGTGACAGGCCTTAGACAGGCCTTGTGCAAAGGGGCCTGTGCAAGAGGCTCTTCCACCTTTAAAACAAGCAATTGTTGGTTGTTTGTTGAAAAAAATAATAATAAGAGGCAGCATATAAAATTCAAATTTTATTATTATTATTTTTTTTTTATAAATATGAGGTAAAATTTTGGGTTTCTTATCAACTTTAACAGCATTGAACTATCAGTATTCTACAATTTCTACCTCCAATATTGTTTAAAAGAATTTTAGAATCTCGTGATTTTCCAAATAAAATAAAAAAATAAGCAAGCTAGCTCGGTTCAGCTCGGCTCAGGCCTGAGCCGAAAGCTATTTTTTAGTCGAGCTTTTGTTAGGCTTGATTTTGTCAAAGAAAGTTCGGGTCATTTTTTACTCTAGTCATGTCTGAGCCACAAACTTTGGCTAACAAGTCGACTCGGATCAGCTCGTTTATATTCCTAGAATGGACATTGCTACAGGTACATCAAGTTTTATATAATAGGTTACATAATCTCACATATCACTCTATCATTTGTCAATTGAAAACATAGTCAACTTTTTCATTTAATATTTTCCCTTCGCATAATTTTATGTAATCTTTTATGTACCATTTTTATGTTCAAATAGAATAATCCTTCCAGATTATCACTGTGAAAGAGGGGGGCACTCCCTTCCCCACGCCACGAATGGAATTGTCGACAATGGCCTCTCTAGATAAGAACAATAACTTGAACTTGGGAAATGGATTGGTTGGTTGGTCTAGCGCTTTATACGACTTTGATTTGCCACACATTTTGCGGGTTCGCAGGGGGCAAACGGGCCCGGGCCCACTAGCTCAGCGAGTTGCCGCCTAGACCTTGGCCAATGGGTAGCTTGACTCGTGCCACCCAGAACCCATAGATCGAGGCAACTTAGGTTTTCGGTCAAATCGGTTGAGTTGAACTTGGCAAGTAAAGCTTTTGGGTTTTTCGAGCTTGTCCTATTTTGTTTATGTTCTTATTTTAGTTACGACATTTTTCATGTTTTTTCATTTTTATTTAATTTTCCTTTGTATATTTTTTGTCTTGAAAAACCGAAAAGCTCATGGTCGGACTCAGCTCATATGGGCAGGTCCATGGGTAGGCATCCATTGTCAATCCTAACAGTTTGTGTCAAGATCTGCACAAATCTTCTTTCTATTTCAAACTTTTGGAATCTAGTGTATTTTCGACTAAAAAGTGAAAGTAATCTTTGTTAAAAAGCCTAGTCAAAAAATATATTTGGTTAAATAACCTCCTCTCAATGTTTTTGGGTAAAATGGTTTTTAAATATAAAATACAATAAATAAATAATGTCAAATGTCATAAATATCCTCATCATTGAAAAAAGACATTAACACCCTTATCAATTCTATTAAATTCTTCAATTCAATTTTAGGGCCTCAAATCACAATCAATCATTTTCTCCTCTTCAGCCTCCGGATTTCTACTTTAAAACCATGTTCTTCATTATATTTTTCACCTATTTTGGATATATTTTGGACATTTGAACAATAGTTTGATTACCATATTATTTATATTGAAACCTCAACTACATTTGAAGAAAGGAAAAAAATGTAATTTTAGAAATCTCATATACATTGCACTTTTTTTATTGAATATTCTATGTAATGATATTTTAAAATTTATTGGTTTTCATTTTTACTGTATTTCTGTGTTTTAGTAATTATTGGATGATAACGGCACTCCAACCTTTATTTACAGTGCAAAACGATATATTGTACAAGGGCAATACAAACTTGATATGTTGTGTATGAGAACAGTGTATCTGTTATTGATAATACAACGTGGTTACTTTGATATTTAAATGTGGTAATTATTTTCATATTAATTTGACATATATATAAGGAATGAGCATGTCTATCAAGTTTTGTAAATGTCATGTCCGTCTTATAGTTTACATGAATTCAACTTATTGTGGAGCACGGATGAGGCATAGCCGCTTATAATATTGTTTACAAATAAAACAAACAATGGCTGTTTTCTTCATAGTAAAACACTTGTGTCATTCTGTTGATTTCTCCTATATTTTAATTTATTTTTCATGCAATGATCTCAAATATTAGACCCCCTAACATACGTAAGAAAGGAAGATTGAATATATGATATAGAGTTGACGAAAGCACAAGTCATTCTACCGATTATTAGAATATAAGTAATGAGTATATTTCTCAAGTTTTGTAAATATTATGTCCATTTTATAACTTAAATGAGTAAAACTTATTGTTTATTGGGTTATGAAAGAGGCATGGCTACTTACAATCGTATTTACAAATAGAATCATACAAGTGTCGTTTTCTTTATAGTAATGATACTCGTGTCATTCTGTTGATTTCTTTATATTTTCATTATTTTGATTTATTTTCAAAACAACGACCTCAAGCATTGGATAAAGAATGTGACAAATAACATATCAAATAAGAGATAGTAACCCTGGGAAACCTTATGCGAAGTTTAGTGATCTTGTGAAAACTTTTTACGAAGTTTAATGATGAATGAGGTGATTTTTAAAGTTCAATGACTTTATGGAAACCTTTTGTAAAGTTCAATGTTGACTTATGTGATTTTTAAAGTTCAGTGACCCCTTGAAAACTTTTTTGCAAAGTTCACTAGCCATTTCAGTTATTATCTCTTCAAATAACAAATTATAAGTTATTGAGTTGATGAAAGCACCAATTATCCGACTAATTCATGTCGATTAAATAGTGAGCATCTCTCAATTTTTGTGCATGTTATGTACATCTTACAACATAAATAAGTTCATTTTATTGTTTCTCAGGGGGGGAGAATAAGACGTGACTGCTTATAATCGTATTTACATGCAGGACAGCACAAGCACCGTTTTTCGTCTCAGTAATAGATCAGATGTCAACGAGTTGAGTCGAAATTCAAGCCTCGGGCTCTGCTTAGGTAAGATGATCAAGCTTTTTTCGAGCCTGAGCCGAGCCGGGCTTTAAATTAGGCTCGACCCCCGTTTTCAACTCGGGCAACTTTTTGAGCCGAGCAGGCTCGATTTTGATGATTTTTATATATATAAAGAAGGCAGCCTCTACTGCCTTTTTTTTAAGACAGCAACTTGCTGCCTCTTTTAGGCAGGAGCGCCCTTTTAAGGCAGCGTGAGCTTAGGCTAGCTTGGGCTTTGCCCGGCACCCAGCCCGAGCATAGAGCTAGGCGGGCTCGTAATTTTTTCGAGCCGAGCCGACGAGCCTGATTGACCCTAGTAATAGCACTTGTACCTTTCTATTATTTTCACTTATATTGTGATTCTTTTTAACGCAACAACCTCAAGAAGTGAAATATAGCAAAGAACGATTGAAATGATATAGATTATAATGGATGCTTATAAGTCAATAATGACACTTGTGCCGTTATCGTAGACATTTTCATCTTAGTAGTGGCACTTGTGCTATTCTCATATAAGCTTAAAATCCTATAATGCCAGTTATGTCATTCTCATGGACATTTATAAGTACAGTAACGATACTTGTACCATTCTCATGAAAATTTTATAAGTCATTTCTTGGAATGCTCTCAAAACTTTTGAAATCAACATGTAAGATGTGCAATAGCTTCATGCAAAAAAGGAGAAGCCAATCTTGAAATCATCACATAGCAGCAAAGCAAAAAGCCAACACACTGCTTGAAAATTTGATACTAAAATGCCTACTGATGGCAATAAACTGGTATAATGGTCAATCAATATCCGTCTACATTCAAAAATATTGTCAAAAAGTGAAATAGTATGTGAATTATAATATTGAGCCATTTGGGGACAATTGAAGGACACCCTACGCTTCTAGATAGGAAGCACGTCATCTATATAAAGTTTAAAACGAGGTTAAACATAATTCAAAAGAAAATGAATAAATTTTTGACAACTAAATTTTTACAATGATGGTCGATTTATATAGTTCTAGAGCAATAAATAATAATAGGTAGAGAACTAGCTTACATATAATTCAAATTCCAATTGAAACATTTCCAATGTATGACAATCAAGACAAAATCATAAACATATCCAAAAAAAATCAAAATTCAGAAATAAAATTGCTCACTTAGTACAGACCAATTTCTTTCTTTTCTTCAACATTGACCTCATTCTCAATTCAAACCCAGTCAATCATATTTAAAGAAATAGAGAGGAGATCGATAAAAATGAAACGGCATGCCTAAAAGTTCCACAGATGATTAAAGCACATATCAATACAAGAAGGTCTAGTAAGCAAGAAGGTCTAGTAAGCTACTGTCCATCTTCCCTCATCAAAATACAGCCGTCACCTCTCAACCGGATAGCCTTGATTTGTAATTAAGTTTTTGCTATATTATAATGTAGTTTTCACCTTTAGAGAAGATAAGTGCCTTGGATTGGGGATAGTGACTCGGGAGCGGAGTTGTGATAATGTCGATTGTTATGCCAATAACTGAACCCATATCAGGCGAGGTATGGAACGCTC